TGGATTGAATATAGTTCGGGATTGAACATGCCTCTATTGTACAAGCTCTCAACATTCTAAAAATAATTCAATTTCAATGATTGTGTGCTTTATGTGCTCTTAACATATCAGAGCTTGTAATGGATGGGGAAAACATTTTTTCAAATATTATTTAGAAGTTAATATCACATGTAAACTCAATAAGTAATTTAATAATGCAAAGAGGTTCTTTTTTGTAGGACCATGTTAACGCGGTAACCAGCCAATGTTAATCGTAGTTTGGAGGTAATATACCTTTCATGAAAATACTAATCAAGATTTTTACCTTGAATTTTTATTCAATCATGATCTTAAAACCCTTACTAGCTGTTAGCCCTTCCTTCGTACGGGAATCAAGTAGTAAAACTGAATATAATTCAGAACTGCTAGTTTGCACGCATAAAGAAAAATTCTGGCAGACTTAATATCAATGGGTGAGGTGAATAAAATGTAGTATTTGGTAGTACGTACTTCTTTTCGAAGTATTTACTCGGTTTTCGGTGAATAAACATGCTAGTTGGTACTAGCCCCTAGTACAAACTACGAATTGCAGGTGAATAAAATGCTAGTTCGTACTACCCCTAGTACACACTACATCACTTAGGGAAAGTAGTATCTACTATGCTTTTTCGGTGAATAAAAACCAGTCGGCGTAGTAGTTACTTCATTTTTATGTAGTACGCTCAAAGGCATGCTTCAGTTTGATCGTTTGCGAATATGGCGATGTTTTTACAAGTCCGTAACAGGAAAACATACCTTGAACGAAGAAATATTGGTAACTGTAAGCAATTACTGCGATTTGAGAATGATAGTGTTGATTTCACGTTGATTTTTTTGACCAACGAGTTTTTGCCTGGCAATGGTGAAGTTGAGAGAAGAGGAGGGGCATTGTCATCTCGACAGAAAATTGAAATTTTATTTTGTTATTTTGGTGATCCGGGTAAGTTGAGCTATTTTTAGTACAAATTAAAATACCTTCTTATCGGTCGTAAATAAGATTTAATTATATAATAACAAAGTGATTTAAATAAACGATATTTTTTAATTGGATTAAATATTAATTGCATCTTAGGAAAAATTTTGAATTAATTGTTTATAAAGTAATATCAATTGCATAGCGTAATTAAAATAATAATTTTGTATCTTGATAGGATTGTTGCGTTTTGTAATTTTCTCTATTTAGCGAATTTCCCTATAAGTAAGTCGCTATTACCATAGGTGGCATGGTAAGACCTAGACCCGGGACCGATTTACTTTTTCTTTTTGATGTCCCCAGAGGCCAAATACACGCAATTCGTTTAAATTTTTAGCAACATTACTAGTCACTCAACACGTCTGATACAACTGAAGGTGCTGTCAGGAATGACCAACGGAATGACGACAAACAGCTGATTATCGCCCCGCGCCTGTTTTGACTTGTTTATTAGTGAATCACTCTAGTAAGTACTAGGGGGTAGTACGTACTAGGCAGGTACCTACTATAGTACCTACTACATCACATAGGGAACCCCTAGTACTTACTACCTAGTTCTAGCTAATTCTTATTCACTTCGATTTGAGCAAGTGCTAGAACTATGTAGTACGAACTACGTAGTATGTACTACCTTTTATTCACCTTACCCAATGGGTTAACCTCTCAGTACGTAATGGAAGTTTTAAATTATTTTTGCTCTTAATCTGCTTAATTAATTTTTAGTTTTTTTTATGAAGTTTCTTTTTTGGTACTATGATTTTGCGCGTCATGATGGTATGTAGTTTTTTGTAAATGTTTTGTATTTTTTTTTTGTAGACCCGTCGCAGACCTTGTAGCAAGTCTATGCTAAAAGCACACGTTTCTAATGAACTGTTATATAGACAGAGAGTAACGGAGTGGCATGGTAATGTAGAGTTTTTTTTGTTTTAGCGAATTTCCCTATAGGGAAGTAGCTATTACCGTAGGTGGCACGGTAAGACCTAGACCCGGGACCGATTTACTTTTTCATTATGATGTCCCCAGAGGCCAAAAACACCATTCGTTCAAATTTTTATATATGTATATATATATATATAGACTTATATATATATATATATATATATATATACGTGAGAGCGTAGATTGATTTCACTTATATATATATATATATATATATATATATACGTCCGTGAACGCGATAACTTGAGTAATTTTTGTCCGATTTTGATGAAATTTGGTTTAAAGGTGTAAAGCGGGATAAACTTGAATGAGTTCGCGAACCAGCACGATCGGACCATGGGAACGGGGCTTTACGGGGGGTTTTATGGGGTAAAAAATGGGTTTTCTCAATTTTGACCCTCAAAACAAAAATTTTCCCGATTTCTCTTTAAAACTTTTTAAGGAGCTTAAAAAAACAAATAGTTTAGTATATAAAATTATTTTTGTTCAATTATTAGTAACGGAGAAAATTTAAAAAAATGTAAATTTAAAATTCCCATGTTATTCTTATGGAGAATATTGTCAAATGTTGTAATTTGCTTGTTTATGGATATATTTTGATCAAACTTGGCAAATTTATTTATTTTGTACTAAGCTATCAATATTTTACTCAAAAACACACTTTATTAGTTTCCTTGTAGCAGCAAACCTAGGTACTCGTTAAACCTAATGTTATTTAAATAGATCGATTGAAAATCAATTCAGCCAAATGGAAATTCGCTTAGACGGCAGGTTTGCTGCGGCGGGGGTATTTTGTAGTGAGAGGAGGGAAAATGCTTTTACGCACACAGGTAGCCAGCCTGTAGTGTGAGACTCCTGAAATTATCAGACTACTCACTAAAGAACCCCCTCTACTCTGTTGGACACAGATCTGGTAATGTAGAGTAGAGAGGAGGGAAAATATAGTGACAAGTTCATCAACTTAAATCACACTAATCATGAAGGGCTGGTCCCACTTTAAAACAATCATAATGGTTCCTCTTTCATTGTCGAATTGGCGACCACGATCGATTGTTAGGTGTGCACAAACCCACTCAGCTATCGAGCTTTATAAGAAAAAAATAGTCGTGTTTTACGTTTCCACACATAAGAAGATTCAAGTGAAATTTCTGTTTAGGTAAAGAATAATGGCTCTTAAAAGATTTACAAAGATACCGATCTAAATCTTTTCCCGATGGAGCAGACCTCATTTCGCCCTCTGTAAACCTCTCCCAACGTCAACAGCTGATTCTGCTTCAACATCAATTTGTTTTGTCCACGATAACTAAATTGTTCTCACTGCTACAAAAGATAAATTGAATTTAGTCTTTGGATACTTGTGTATTTTCTGAGAAATCAATCTACGCTCTCACGTCTCTTTAGTAGCTAAATTGCAAGGTAAAACTTTTTTTGATGATTTTGTTTTGGCCGTCATGAATTGATTTTGTTTACACGTGAGTATAGTAAGTAAAAGACAGATGAAAAATTCAGTTATTGTGAGATAATTAATTTGATTAGGAAAGTTGATGAGTTCCAACTATTAAGAGTTTGGTTCTGATGCAAAATAAAAATTCTCAAACATACGATTGTACCAACAATTACAGGAATGTTAGAGAAAAACATTTTCACGGCGTATGAATTTAAAAATATATAAATCTAGGGATGGTTATTTTTATCGTAGATCCTCTTAAAGGACATGTGCTCACGTAAATTCAAGTTAAGTTATTTGTTGTCGATACAGATTTGATGCAACAGTTAGCATGTTATAAATAAAATAAAGTTATACATGACATGTTTTAAGCTAATATCCTTATCACAGTGTGATCAATAATATTGTTACCTAATATTAACCAGCATGGCGCAGCTAATTAATTAAACCACATGTAACTTGCTTAACCCAGCAGTTGGTCTCTAAAAGGTAAAGCAGTAATGAAATTCCAGCAACATTTAAATGTGTTTAAAATTAAAAGTACAAAGGTGTAACAGCGGACAGCTATAACAATGTTGTAAAATATTAAATAATTAAGTCCTTTGTGGCGTGTTAAGCCTCATGCAAATGTAAAACATAATGTATTTAGTTAATTATTTAGACGCTGTGGTCAGTTTGGTTATAATTTTATATATCAAGTACTATGTAATATTCCGTTATCGTTGGGTTGGTTAACTTTTAAGCTAATACGTTTTGCAGTAAAAATGGTACAACTGATTATTTAGATGGAAATTAAGATGAAAATATTTTTCAGCGGTTGTATTTTAATTTGATTAATTTTGAATGTTTGTTCAGTGCTGCAAGTTGACTTGTTTATAGTTTTGTATTTTTAAATAAAATTTAGAACATAGCTTATTAAATTTGAGTTCGAGTTTTCAATGTGGTGTTTGTACGACATGAGTTGTAGCAGATTTTGACAGAGTATCAAGACTTAAATATTAAAGTTGGAAGAACAGAAACTAACATAAGATATATTTGTTTTCATTTTTGTTTGTGGATTTTTACAACCTCCTCGGATAGAGAGAATATAGTTTAGATTCAGTTCAATATTTGCTTTTAGTCCATCAAATTGAAAACCAAACACTAAAACCAAACAATCATAATACTTTTTATTTACTCACTTAGGCCAATTTATCCAAAGTAAAATGAAAAAAGAGCATTATAAGGTCAATCAGTTTAGAAAAGAAGCTCACGTAAAACACCTTTTTTAGTTAAAAAAACGTATAGTTAAAAAATAGTTTTGAACTAAAAAAATAGGATCAACATAATAACACACGAGGAAGATAATTATTCGCAAACCCTTCCAAGAAACTAAATCCACTCAAAGGTAATAAAAATTGACCAAGAATGTAAAAGTAATACTAAGAGAAAAAAAGGGATATGGAAAGCAAAAAAGTAAAAGAAAAACTAAATATGCAATTAGAGTAAAATTGCTGAGTCTTTGTTTACCGAGTTTCAAATTCTACATAACGTACATAAAACGTCATTCAATACTCATCCATTTAATATGGAACACCTGTGTACACATTCGTTCGTGGAGTTTTTAGTTAGATGTGAATACTATCAAGGTTTGAGTTTAACATTGGATCTCTGTTAGTTTTTGTGATTTCATTTTTTAAATGAAAATGTTTGTTTGCAATTCATTTACACAAAATATTGTAACAGTTTTGTGGATGCTGTCTAGTTTGGACCTTGGGTAATTCTATTTATTTAATTTTAAACTCCTATTCTTTATTTAAACATAATGATGTTCATCTTACCATAGAAATTGTTAGAAAGAATGATCCAAGATAGTTTACATTGGTAGACATGCTTGTGGTATGCTGTGGTGTACTGCTTTCTCGATCATTTTTTTAGTGGCAGAATTTTAAAAGCTCATCTATGGATACTACATAAACAGCTGGGTAACAAAGTATTTAAAATGTTCATCTAGTATATACTACATAAAAAGTTGGGTAGCAGAGTATTTAAATACTCATCTAGTATATACTACATAAAGAGTTGGGTAGCAGAGTATTTAAAATGCTCATCTAGTATATACTACATAAAGAGTTGGGTAGCAGAGTATTTAAAACGCTCATCTAGTAGATACTTCATAAAGAGTTGGGTAGCAGAGTATTTAAAATGCTCATCTAGTAGATACTTCATAAAGAGTTGGATAGCAGATTATTTAAATGCTCATCTAGTATATACTACATAAAAAGTTGGGTAGCAGATTATTTAAATGCTCATCTAGAATATACTACATAAAGAGTTGGGTAGCAGAGTATTTAAATGCTCATCTAGTAGATACTTCATAAAGAGTTGGGTAGCAGATTATTTAAAATGCTCATCTAGTATAAACTACATAAAGAGTTGGGTAGCAGATTATTTAAATGCTCATCTAGTATATACTACATAAAGAGTTGGGTAGCAGAGTATTTAAAATGCTCATCTAGTAGATACTTCATAAAGAGTTGGGTAGCAGATTATTTAAATGCTCATCTAGAATATACTACATAAAGAGTTGGGTAGCAGAGTATTTAAATGCTCATCTAGTAGATACTTCATAAAGAGTTGGGTAGCAGATTATTTAAAATGCTCATCTAGTATAAACTACATAAAGAGTTGGGTAGCAGATTATTTAAATGCTCATCTAGTATATACTACATAAAGAGTTGGGTAGCAGAGTATTTAAAATGCTCATCTAGTAGATACTTCATAAAGAGTTGGGTAGAAGATTATTTAAATGCTCATCTAGTATATACTACATAAAGAGTTGGGTAGCAGATTATTTAAATGCTCATCTAGTATATACTACATAAAGAGTTGGGTAGCAGAGTATTTAAAATGCTCATCTAGTAGATGCTTCATAAAGAGTTGGGTAGAAGATTATTTAAATGCTCATCCAGTATATACTACATACGGAGTTGGGTAGCAGACTATTTAAATGCTCATCTAGTATATACTACATAAAGAGTTAGGTAGGAGAGTTTAAAAAATGCTCATCTCAGTCAGAAGGTAGCATATTCGACCCGAAAAAGTATATATGATTTCTATTAGTTTCAAAATGAACCTAACTTTATTTTCCACACTTGTTTTCGGTGTCAAAAGATTATGTTGTGGTTAATGGATAAGGTTTAAGCCTGGCGAGTGAATGGGCACAGTATAGAGCACATAGCTTCAGTCCCTGATGTTCTGAGTCCAAACCCTGATAATCACCAACTGATGTTCTGTAGTGTTTTAGATTTGTATTTATGTGGTAACGCCCATCTAGGCGTAGCCTGAATGTAATGAATGGAAAAACTTTCTGAGCTAGAGCTTACCGTCCTATGATGTGAAGGTGGGACACAAAAAAATATTTTCTAATTTAGCAAACTGACTTGATAAATTTACGCTTTTCAGTACTCTGAAAACTCAAAGACCACCCTATGGTTAAGGTTAATATAAAATCTAATTTTAATCTTTCCACAGATTGGCAGGGATAAGCATAATTGAAGTTCCCTTGACCAAAATAAGAAGCGTAAGTAATAATACAGTTTTTTGATTCAAACCAATAAAAATCGTCGTAAATTATGAAATTTTGCATTTTTAGGGTCAAAAATTGGAAAATCTATTTTTACTCCATAAACAATTCGCTTATTATGTTGAGTTTGGGTAAAAGTTAATCAGCTGGTTGGAATTATAGTGTTTGAATACCACTTAGGTTTACATATAACAGAAACCTATTGCTATTAGCAATGTGTGAATGAAATAACCTAATTGGTGGGAGGCCATAATAATAAGCTGTAGGTTGACTTGCAGTTTAGAAAAGAGAAAATAATCGGTCTCTGAGGCGAAAACACCTTTCTCTTAATTAGAGAGCTCACTCTATTAACAAATGTACAGTAATTTCTTTTTATAACTATGTAACATCTGATCATAGGGCTTTAACAGGATATTCTATCATTCTTCTTGATTGTAAACGTGACTTAAATGAATAAAATATTAGAAGGGATATATTTTAACCAAATAGTAACTGTTAACACTGTTAGTAGTGTTTTTTCTTAAATAATTTTCTTGATCTAAGATAATGTACAAGCTACATTGTGCATCATTCTTGCTTCTATTGCTTTTATAATATACAACTAGTTATTATTGGACAGTTTACCTTAGGTTTCATTCGGTATATAATTAACTTAATGTACCTGTGATCTTTTCGTCATTCGATCTTCTTGAACTTGGCTTAGTTTGTTAGGAAAATTCAAATGCTAAATAAAAGTATGCTTGACGTTATTTCACAAAACTATTCTTTTATTAGTAACTTCAGCAAAAAGAACTCCATAAAAATCTTTTTTACCTACAGTTACTTGACAAAGTGTCCTTCCTTGCACTGATTATAGCACGCAAAGTAGCTAATTGCTGAATTTACTTACTTTTCCAGCGCTCTTTCCTTTTTTGTCGCACTTCAGTATTCCAACCAAACAAAACAAAACTGTGCGCTTTTATTAGGCGAAAATAAGTTGGCAACAATTAATTAAAAATCTACGATCAGCTAGTGCACCGTTCCCATTTCTTTCAACGCTTGGATTTAACCTAACCTAAAACCTTTGACTATTAATACAACTTCAGGATCCAATAGTCAATGCTAAAACTATGTTGTTTAGTGTTTGAAAAAAAACTAATTGTGTTATAAGCCTTTTGGTAACTGCAGGAAAAATATAATATGTAACGTGAGTGCAAGTGCCTTTGCTGCACTCGAGAAACTTCCCACACTCATCTTTGGCTCGTAAGTAAACATTCCTCCCATGTGCAGCAAGGTGTCTCTTCGCACACTAGTTACTAAAATTGGTAATTTTATTTTAATTATTATTTTTTTACAAATAGTTTATTTATATTGTAAATCGTATACCGAATTTTATAAAAATGTCTTTATTATTTTTAGGGATATACATTTTAAATACCAAACAACCAAATAAAATACAGATATTTATCTAACCAGGCAAAAAATATATATGTATATAATTCTTGATTTTCGTTCGATTTTTTACGATTTAAAACAATTTTTCGTAGCTTGAGTATACGTGCGTGCTTGTTTGTATTTAAATTAGTAGTGTTTTGGCCACTGGTGTCACCAACATAAAAAAATTATATCGGTCCCGGGCCTAGTTCTCACCATACAGTACGTAGCATCTTTCTTATAGGGGAAATCCTGTAAAAGAGTAGAATGTCTGCTACCACTTCCAGGAGAGTGTAATTTGTTCCACTAAAACGCAATTTCGTGCATAATGGCACCACTACTCGCCTAACTCAGTTATAACCTACTCTATGTGGAAAACTAATTCTATTTAGGATCCTGACTGAATTACGTTTAAATAGGATTTGCTAAAAGCTATGTTCTTGTTTGTAATTTTGAACTAAAAATCACTAATTACACTTACAGCTATTACAGAGCGTTTATTTGATGGCTAAATAATGCTGTATTGGATGATATTGTGGGTTTTAAATCCAGCCTGTCACAAATGGATATTAACTGTGCGTAAATCCCATGGATATTACAAACGTTAAATAGGATGGGAAAAAGGTCCCGGGACATTTCAAAAAGTAATCAAGATAGAATAATAAAATCATAACAATTTTACACATCATTCAATGACAAGCTACACCTTCAGGAGGGCGGCCCGCTAGGAGTCAGAAGGAACTCTTAAATGTAAGTATAAATAGATGTGTACATTAAATCAAAGGCATTTACTAGTAAAATACAATGCCGCAAATTTAAACTCAAACGGACAACCAAGGCAGTATTTGTAAGATTTCTAGAATCTGCCATTTTGAATCTTTAAAAAGTGTTGCAATTTTTTATTCAGATGTTCATTTGAGCTGAAATTTGCGACATTGTATTCTAATAAAAAAGGCCTTTAGTTTGATGTGTATATCAAACTATGCTTACGTCTAAGATTTTCTTCTGACTCCTCGCGGACCGTCTCCCTAAAGAGATAGTTTATCGTTGAATAATGTGTTAACGTGATTTTAGTACTGTACTCAGTAACTGTGTACAAAGTTTTGAAGCTTTAAAAATATTTAATATTTTTTTGAACCAGGCTAAGTGTCCCTGGACTTTTTACTATCCTGGGCATCTTAAAAACAAGCAAATTATGTCACTGGCCCGATATTAAACAGGTTTGTATTATTATGAAAATAGAAAAGTCAAAAAACGTTCATACCATATTAATGTTAATATTGAAAGATCTGGGTCGGTGAAGTAATTTGTTTATGATCCACACAGTTTTTTTCCTAATTTCCGTGGCAATTATCAGTGTCGTGGTGGTTCAGAACCCACCTTATACCGTGTTTTCATAGAGAATTTTATAAATGTATATTTTTCAGTTAATGAGAACTTTCTTTGTACCAAACCCCTTCCAACACTAAAACCATACATGGCTCAACCTACATTGATTGATATCCAGTCTTTTAGGTATATCAGGATACAGTCCATATAATTGCTCAAAAACATGTTGTTTCAACGATTTAGGTATTTCATAAAAAATATGTAGCCTATTAATAGAAAATTGTAACATTATTATTTCATGTTTTAGTTAAGGAGTCTTATTTGTTATTTAATGATGCTTACTACATTTTCTTTCAACTGTCATCATTAAATCTACAAAATATCTATACTTTATCACAAATACAGTCAATTTAGATTGTTTCATATCTTTTTCGTTTCTTACATAAAAAGGCAACATTTAAAATTTTAGTTTTCGAACCACACACGATTATTTTGATTTATTAATGGATTTTAATATTGCTCCATAGAACTACTACGGTTACATTCGAGTAGGAACTCCTCTAGAGGAAGATGGGGAAGACCAGATTTTCCGAGTTAACTTTGACACTGGTTCCCAGCATTTGTGGTTAATAACGACGGAAGCTTGTAAGAATCCGGACTGTAAGGAAGGTAGGTACATTCAACTTGCTTTGAAATTATTATTTTCCTGCCTAAAACAATTAAACCATTTATAGATATAGTTTCCCTTGATTTGGTTTGTACCAACGAAATCTGCTTGAACGACTTTATGTTTGTAATTTGCCTCTAGATATATAAAAATTTAAAACTAATGACATTAATATCATCTGTAAACAGTGACAATTTAAATAATTATGTTTATTTTTTTTACAATGACCATTGAAATAAAAAACACATGTTTTGGGCATAATACTTTTCAAAAATTATCAAATAAAATCATATTAAGACCTTTTTAGTTTGCCAAATGTGCTGCTTTTGGTTTTATTGAGAAACTATAAACAATCAAGACAAAATTTGAAGTTTTCCTAATGAAATTTATGTAAATTGGTTTAATGGAAATAAATCATCTTAATGGCTTATGTCTTTTCGTTGAACACAACTAATTTTGATTTTTTTGTGGTAAAAGTTTGGATTTTTGCAAACAATTTAAGATATCTTTTCGGACATAGTGGTCCATCGTCCCTTTGTGAAGGGTTTTCATTAGTTATAGTCCTCCAAAAGATAGGCCTACTTCAAATATGTTATAGATAGTATAGATGGTAATTTATTTTAAAAGAAATATTGATAACATGCTGTAATAGTGAAGTGTTCACGGTTCGTAATTTGCTTTTAACGATATTTTTACTATGACCAAGAAAAAGTGGGCACTAACTAGATAAGGGTCTCATTATTGGAACTACATTTTTCCTCAAATTTTGGATAAAGTGTCGATTAAGAAGCTAATTCATTCGATGGCACTCTGTTTTTTTTTTATTTCTTTACACGCAATTGTAGTTTTAATAAAAGGACCAGTTGAAGTCATATTTTAAGAAAACTAAAGTAATATTCCCACCATTTAATGGGAACTGAGAGAACATTTTGAAACAAACAGTTGAAGAAAGTAGCTAACATTCATTACAAAATACATGTATACAACACAAGTTTAAAGCAGCTACTTATTTAGCTTCGAGTTTTGGCAGTAGCCTAGCTTAGGTAGATATTTGAAAATGTTTTATTTTTCTGTATGATGAATTTCAAATTATTTTCAGAGAAATTCACCCCTTATGATAAAACTAAAAGCAAAACGTATACAAAAATTGATGATCGTCCGTTTTCCTTGAGCTACAGTGACGGGACAGAAGTCAATGGCCATTTAGGTTCTGACGTTTTAAAGGTAAGTGCGTAATGATTATGTAATACCCCCAGCCGGATAAACCCTGCAGAGTGAGTGAATTTCAATTTGTATAATTGAATTAATGCTAAAATATTTCCATAAACAAGACATATTTATCTCACATTTAAATAACATTAGGATGTAACAAGTACGTAGGTTTGCTGCAATAGGATAATATTTTTGTCAAACGTTTCTTGGCCTGGGTTTGAGCCCAAGATTTGAAGGTGGGACCAAAACAGGCTTAAGCTAGGATCCTATGTGACGATTGGAGCTTGAAGTATTATGTTAAATGGTTTAAGTTAAAAGCTAACGTCCTAGACATAAAATGTAGTGGATTTCCTTTTCGGACGTCGTATTTGCACTCCTTGTTGATTGACACAAATGACTAGTTTAGTGACGGTGAAACGCGTTTTGAAATATGATTGTCGAATTTCCAAAACGTACATAGCCAGAAAAATTAACCCTAACTTTGAACTTTGGCATCATAGTGATCAATGGTTGTTGTCAATTTGTGTAAAATAATGTACTTTGAAATTAAATTTTATTATAATTTAAAGAAGAAAAGCCAAGAGGGAAAATAGTGTTATCAATCCCACCCGATTTTGTTACCAACGGAGTATCTTTGGTTTGGGGTATGCCTCGGTTATAGCCCAACTCAACCTAAAATAGCCTAACGATAAGTAGGATTTGTATGTACTGTAACTATAACATTTCAACCTGAAAAAACAAAGTGCATTAACAAGAAAGTCCAATAGTGTTTTCCTTACAAATACCTAGTTTGTTGATATAAATTAATACTCTTAAAAAAATTCAAAACAAACAATTATAATATTTGAATAGTATAATTTGAGAAACCAGCTATATTAAACATAATCTTCAAAGCTAGGAGTAATAAGGTTGTAAAACATTTCGATGTGTTTACCATTTAGATAGGTGTGGAAGGCAAAAGAGCTGAATTCACTCAGGTCATCGGATTCGCCAGCTCAGCCAAAGGTGTTTTCAGAGATTACGACGGGATATTTGGACTTGGACTTTTGACTGAGTCTCTTATCCCAGGCGAGGAATCTCCAGACCCTCCTATGTATACGATGAATGAACTATACGACATTGGGGAGTTTAGTATTTATTTTTCCAGGTAAGTAGGTTGCACCTTGAGTCAAAAATAATTTAATATCCTTTATTGTTCAAAGATTACAGGAACACTAAAATTTGGACTTAGAATTTTCCTAGCGGGGGGAGAATCACGTGATCTTTGATTAATATTTATGCTAACGTTTATGTTAAAAAAATAGTCAGTAGGTACTTTTTTCCTAGTTATCATACAGATGCAATTCATTCTTGTGTAATAAACTCTCCTGATTTCAAAGCTAATTTGAATGGTGAGAAAGAAATGGTTGAATAGGATTTGTATGTACTGTAACTATAACATTTCAACCTGAAAGTCAACAAGTCAACCAAGTAAGAACTCTTGCCCTTGAAGAGGGAAGGGAGTTCTTCGTAATAGAATGTCCTACAAAGCTGAAAACAATCTTTAACATTTTATTTACCCTTGCTTTTGTTTCCTGAGTTCTCGTAGGTAAAATGTTTGTGTAATTCAATGCAGTTCTCCACCTTGTTTGGCATCTTCAGAGATCTTATACATTTCCTTAACACTAACACTGCAGTCTATTTTTACAAAAAATATGTTTACATAGGCGGTCACTATGTGTCACTATGTTACACGGTCTGGTCTATTGGACGGTGGCGAAATGCATAGGTAGACACAAACATCTTACTTACAAGAACTCAGACAACAACAAAAGTATACAGGGTGAATAAAAAGTCAAGACCCCTCCCTCTAATATTTTTCTAAGTAAATATACAGAGATATCCTTTTGGTGATCGTGCAATCTTTGCAGGAAGTTTCATTTTATGATTTTCACATTTTTGAGTGCCCCCCAAAAACCTCGTATTTTGGGGTCAACTCAAAAGTTTTAAATGTAAACACCCTTCAAGTGACAATTAATTTTGAAGTGTTTACAACAACCTAAGGAATGGTGAAAACCAGGGATCGCTAGGTATCTCTTCTTTTTCCAAAATAGTAGCCAATATTACCATTACATTAATATGTTTTTATCTTTTTAATGTGAAGACTGGACGATGCTAAGATTTGACGGGCTACCTTTTGGATAGAGAAGAGATAGCGAACTCTGATTTCCAACATTCTTTAAACATTTGTAAACACTTCAAAATGAGGTTTGACTTAAAGGGGTTGAACTAAAAGAAAATTGAGTTCCTCCGAAATCCCCCATTTTTGGGGGACACTCAACATTTTCTAAATCATATAATGCTTCATGCTGAGTTTGCGCGACCACCAAAATGATCTGTGTACATTTACTTTCTTTGTAAAACACTTTTTAATAATCCGCTCACTGAGTTTCATGGAATTTGGCATCAAGTATTTTAAAAAAGCCGCCATTTTTGTACGGTTCATGAGTTTTTATTCATATTTTGCACAAGAATAGCGGTCAATAAGATCAACATCTTTACAGAATTTCAACGCTGTAGCTCAAAAAGTTGAGAGGTTTGACGAATTGAGATAGGACACATGTTGTATTCAATTTTTTGTCTCTTTTGACATGCTAAATAATGTGACAAAGTTTGTTCATATGTTTGCAAGACACTCTGTATTATACTCAATCATAGCATTTATTTGAGTCAATAGATCATCTAAAAACCAGAATTTAGTGAGAAACACCGATTTAATGAAAGTGTGTGTATTTATTGGTCCAATTAGAGTGTAGCTATGTATCCTTGATTTTTTAATTCCATTCTTGTAGGGTCTTTAATGGTGACGGTGCTGGGAAAATATTGTTTGGAGGTTACGACACGGAACTAGCCATGGAACCTATGCATTGGCATGATGTTGTGAGCTTTGATGGCGATTACCAGGGATACAATATACGTTTGAAAAAGTAAGTTTACATTATTTTATTTTTTGAAAAACTTTATACCAACGTTAGATTTCATGATGTTAAAAATTATTTACTAAATAAATGTACTAATTGTTTAGAACCGGGGACCACATCAAAGTTGTGTTAGATATCATTTTGCCATTATGTATTAAATGTTTAAAAAATTAGTTGGTGTGTTTATTTTTGAACGAAAACATTTCAAAAGCCTTGAAACACGTGTATACAGTATAAAATTGTGTGTCAGAGCTCAAGTGTTCACAGGAAATCGCTCCCCTTTTAAAATGAGTTATAATAAGTGATTTTTAAAACTAGTTTAAGAATGTATTTAAATTAATTCCCAATTCACTAGCTACTACTATATCACTAAAATACTATTTTGTTAATATGTTTTTTTTTTTTATAAAACATAAGCTTTGAGGAACGAATTCCAAAATTTTCGAACAAATAAAATCTTTAGATTTACTTTATATTAGTTAAATAATACCGAAACACGATCCACAGCTATTTTATTTTATTTATTTTACCTTCCAACGGTCAAGAACCAATTTACAATAATTTGTATATATGACTTAATCTAACTTAAACATATACATAAAAAAATAATGTTTGACAAAGACATGCAGTAAGTAAATACAATTTGACCAGTATCAAAATAGACGTACACAAAGCAGAACTTTAAATAACAACCAATGAACAAGAACAACAAACAAGCATAGTAAGTGAAAAATAAATGAACGACAAACAATAAAAATAAGAGTTTTAACAATAACAATAAATATATGAGTTTTAACAATAACAATAATAGTAAATATAAATAAAAAAATATAAAAGCAATGCTTATTCCTAATACAGGGCGAGGCAATGAAAGCGCCCCAATTTATAAATAGTACAATTTCAATTATATTTACCCTATACATATAAATAGCACATCAAAACACAGCTTATCTTTTGCAATTTTAACTTAAGAAAGTCGTTTTTCCATTTCTTGAAAACAAAATCTTTTAAGTGACGTCCTTGTTCTACTTAGCATTCCTTTTCAGTCACTTGAAAAGTCATTGAATACTCTTTCCAACATTTCTTCAGGAACCACTTTAGTGCCTTGGAAATTCAAGAAAATCTCTAGGGAAACTTTGAAAAATTTAAATTTCAAGTAGCTTATAGGGAGAACCCCCAAAGAAAGCAAAGAGCCGACGTAAAGCTTCCAACAACGAAAGCATTCTGGCATTCTCTTTGGACTTCCAGTTACTGCGACTCACATGCTTTCAACATTTGCTGGTGTACAACGAGTTCGCGGTACCCACCGATTACTTTTATGGTTTAAGCTGTTATTCTAAATAATTTTACCCAGTTCACCATTGTTTTCCAATCTGGAACAGCGCCATATTGACCAAGTATGGAACGTGGTCCAAACAATCTCTGGGTGTTTGCACAAGAATCACTATTTTAAAAATCGGTTCCTTCATCAAAAACTCAGTGTTACAAGCCTCAGGCACAATGTTTTCTAAAATGAAATAGTTTGATTGATGTTATAAGCACGGCTGTTCATTCGTTGTTGCTTTATAATGTGACAACGAAAGAAAATTGGGGTGCTCTCACTGCCTCACCCTACATGGTTGTTTATTTTATAATAACTAATAATTATCGCATCCAAATACTTACTATTATTCTCTTGTTTAGATTAATCGTAGAGACAGGGGGAGAAAAAAGAAAAATAGAATTTGAGAATATGTTGGCCTTACCGGACTCTGGTTGCAATGTAATTACTGGACCTTTCGAACAGTTTGACAAACTGAGGAACGAAATATACAGTCATGCAACCTTCAAATATTCCAGCACAGATATACGATCGGTGAGTATAATTAAAATAAACTTTTCCTACAGTTTTATGACAAAATGGCCTTCCTTGCACTGGATTATAGCACATTAAGTTAATAATTGCTTCATTTAGTAACTTTTGTCGCACTCTTTTTTGTCACACTCCAGTATTCCAACCAAACACACAAAACACCGAACTTTTATTAGGCAAGTAATACGTGTACACTTGAAAATAAGTTGGCAATACTTAAAGGTATTATGACTACGATCAGCTGGTGCAGGGTTTCCCATTTCGTTCAAGGTTTGGATTAACCCTAACCTTAAAACGTGTTGTTTAGTGTTTGAAATACTAATTACTTATATGATTTTTACACTATAATTACAAAAAATACGTAAAATACACTATACTGTAGGAAAATATAGTGTGTAACACGAGTGCAAACAGCAAACAACCTTTGCTGCACTCGAAAAACTTCCATGTGCAGCGAAGTGCCACTTCCCACACTCGTTACACAGATAACTATTATCCTTAATCACTTTGACTCACAATCTTAGCCTTATTTTACGCGTGAAATGCCTAGTGTAGTCTTAATAATCATACTTGTATTTCAGTTCAAATGCAATGAAGATGTAAGTACGTTACCAAATATAGTTTTTGTCATGGATGACAAAGAATATAAAATGGAGCCCAGGGATTACATTTGGGTTTTCCCCTCAGTAAGTAAACTTTTCATTCGTAGTTATTTAGAACTATTCGAAGATTAATTTTTAATAATGCTTTAGTTTGAATTATTTGTTAATACCGAGTTTTTAAAAATAATACACAACATATTTATACACTAAATTCAATTTGTTTATCGAATTAATTTTTCTTTAGTACAACTTTTAGTTATTCTTAAATATAAGTTTCTTGTAAGATTAGCATTTGCTTGATTTATTCAGATACATTATGCATACATTCTTACAAGCGTTATAATTGCTGTTGTAACCACGAACTGTAAATGAAAAACTTAAAATGCCTTTATGATCAGGCAACGGAAAGGGTAACTAATAGTCTTAGTGAACACCACAAAACATGGTATAAAATTGGTACCAATTAACAGTCAAAATAAAATTCGTAAAAGGGCGAGAACCCCTTACGATATTAACATTACTTGTCAGGGTACTAGATGGGAGATTATGGTCCTGATCCTAGGTGCTAGTTATGGATACTCAATCAAATGTGGGGGCTACCATTGTATACCAAATTTTCCAAAATTATTTCTTGTTTCAGGGCGAACGTTGCTCAGTCGGTATCTACGGTATGGAAACAGACCATATTGTTTTGGGTCAGGTTTTCATGCAGGCATTTTATACACACTTCAACATTGAAGAAAAGAAAGTAGGATTCGCACGAGCGAACCACAGTTAATAACTTTAAAAAATAAAACGTATCCTACTATAAGCCCAAAAATAGTTTATATTATAATGTTTTTAAATAAAAAACGAATATTTGAAAGTTGATAAAATCAGATATTATATATGTATTATTTTTAAACTTGTATTATACCTATACTTTCATGGTAATTAGAATATCAGTAGGTTGATGTTAATAAAAGTACGTGACTTTTCAATGATTCAAATTTGCACCCAGCTGACCTTGATTTGGGGTTTTAACAGGTTTTTTTTTTAAAATATTCAGCTGATCTATGTTAGTAGCGAACAAAGCTACACAATGCATCTTACTTCACGTTACTCTTGCTCATTATATTTTGTCTTAAAATACGCATAGTTGCGTTCCTACTTTAATTGTCAAAATGGCGTTCTGAATTAAAATTATGTGTTTCATTAAAAAGGTTTAAATACCTGCTATCAAGCAATCCATTTAATTGCAGTTGCAACTAGTTTCGACTCCTATGTGGAGTCATCATCAGGCGGTACAAGGACATCTTCTTTCTTCATATGAAGAGCGTCATATTTAACACGTAAAAATAAATCTAATATGGTAGCCATATTAGACATACTCTGTTTTTCACATATACATATTTATATAAGTGTCCGTTAGCACGATAACTCGAGCAAAAAATCATCCGATTTCAATTAAACAAACGTGTATTTATTTTTACGTGTTAAATATGACGCTCTTCATATGAAGAAAGAAGATGTCCTTGTACCACCTGATGATGACTCCACATAGGAGTCGAAACTAGTTGCAACTGCAATTAAATGGATTGCTTGATAGCAGGTATTTAAACCTTTTTAATATTATTTGGCAATCCGGAGGCTACATCCACAATGAAGTTATGTGTTTCAGTTACATTGGTCCACGTGAGAAATGTAAAAAAATAACTAAACATATTACAATTTTAGCGAATTTCTAAATAGGGAATTAGCTATTACCGTAGGTCTCATAGTGAGACCTGGATCCTGTACTGATTTAATTTTTGTTTGTTTTGAAATTCCCAGAGGCAAAAACGGAATCCGTCCGAGTATTGTAATAAATAATGTTATGCTTTCAATGATGCTCATTTTATCAATATCGAAACTTACTTTATAAACATACTAGCCTTACTAACCTATTACTAGACTTTTTACCAGCCTTTATAAACATACTACTTACTGTATGGTAACCATATTCGACCTACTCTGTTTTTCATATATACATATTTATATAAGTGTCCGTTAGCACGATAACTCGAGCAAAAATCGTCCGATTTCAATGAAACAAACGTGTAAGCCTACGATTATTCGAACGAGGTCGCGAACCAGCATGATCGGACTATGGGAAATGGAGTTTATGGGGTGAAAATAGGTTTTTCCTATTTTAGACCCTAAAAACGTAAAATTTCCCATTTTATTTCCAACCATTTTGTAGAATTGAAAAATGAAACAATTTAGTATATTGAGGCGTCTTCGTATTCCTATGGTTACGGAGACAGTACAAAAAGTGCAAATTTAAAATCACCGCGTTTTTTTAGGAGAACACATAACAATACATAAACAAGCAAAGTTCAACAGTTTATTTAACTGTTGAACTTTGCTTGTTTATGTATATTTTTTTGTATTTGGGAATTTTGTTTATTTTATACAAAGCTATTAAAATTTCATTATAAACACAGCTCATTGCATTCTCACTAGCAGCAAACCTAAGTATTCTTAAAAATTAATGTTATCACAGTATTAATAGGAGATACAATGACAATATTAGGGGAATATTTTAGTGAAATTCTAGCTAGGTTATTGGGAATTCACTTGTGAGATAATTAACAGCTGATGTTAGTGTTGCTAATGATTTTTTTGATTTATTGTGAGTGAAGTTGGAAGGACTTGTGATTTCATTGGAAGAATATTTACCTAAAATGAATTGTTCATTTAAATTTAAAATAATTAGTAGTTTTGAAACATCAAAATTGAAGTTTGAAATGTCAGAAATAAAGAAAAAAGATAACTGTGTAAATAAGGGAGATAAAGGTAAATAATGTGTGTAAAAAAGGTTATTTAAAGTTTTTTCTCATATCAGCCTACACAAGATTTAAAATTATTTAATTAAAACCAAAATGGCGGTTTCCACTACTTTCCAGATGTAAAGGCCACAAACGTTTCTATAAAGGCTATAAATGTTGGACTTTGTTTCCTAAAAGCGTTGGCGAAAGTGTAAATATTTTATACAACAGATGTAAAAATGTTATACAAATAAAAATGTTTATATTTTGTGTCCTCTTCCCGTAGCAAAGCACGGGTACAACAGCTAGTATTTAATAAATTTAAAATTATTAAGCACTACCCCCATATAAAAGCATAAAAACACATTTATTATTACACATTATTAAAATTATCCTCTGAAAAATTTTCTTAAAACAGTGAAATGAAATTAGAATCTATATAACTGACGTATTGCTGTACTGTTCCTGGTTTCTAAAAAATTACATAATACTGAAGACAATAAAGTACTGTATATTCGGACTTTTAAAGAAATCAAAGTATTGGTAACCTTAATAAACCTCCATTCTTTTTATGTTAAAGAAGAAGGGGTATTGTATTCAAATATAATTATTTTAGACTAGATTTATTTTAGTCTAAATAAGTAAATAATACGATTACCTCCTTGATTTTACTATAAGAAGTAAAAAAGTACAAATAACTTGTATTATGTTTCAATGACAAACCTTATTCACGATGATCAAGGCATATAAGAAATTAATTATGTTACATAAACAATTTAAAACAAATAATTTAATGTTTGGTTAAACAAATTCCCATGGAAGTTTACAAAATCGTTGAAGGGAGAAACAAACAAAAGGAACTAACCATCAAAGAGACTGCGAAATTGAGCCATTTCGATAGCAAGAGTGTACAAACAAAAACAAAACCCATCACTGTAAATTGTCTCTATTGTATCGTGACACAAGACAGATGACGTTTTATACATTTAGCTTTTCTTTTCGACTTTATACTAGACAGGTATTTGATGAAACTAACTAGACAGTCAATGAAAGAATTATTATTTAAATCTAGTGGCGTGTTACTTATTTCTAAATTTCTAGGTAGAGATCAAATTGTTCACGTAACGGTACTTTTGGTTTGGTTTTGAATTATTTAAGTTAAGTCATATTATGGTATAAATAAACGTTTTTAAATCTATTTTTAACAATTAAGCTAAAAGTATTATATAAGCTATAAACAATTATCATTTATTTTATTTGATTTTTGTCTACAAATAATTTAAGGAACAAGCATTTTAAGAGGAATCCTTTACAAGACAACATTTTATGTCTGTAGTGGACTTTGTGGATCAACAAACTCCGGATATTAAGTGCTTTGTTCCATTTGCAGCTGAGTTTAATAAGCTCTGAAATTAATTCAGATAATGCTTGCAGCAGTTGCAATATTAGTTTGATGTTAAATTGTAACTGTCAACGACAACGCGTACATTGAACTGTGTTAAATGTTGTGTTGCGATAACAGTTACTTTTTATTTCCATGTTTACATATATAAAGTCGATAAAAAATATTGGATATTGGTTATTTGCAACACTGTTAACCTTAGCAATAAAAATATAAAAAGACATTTTGTCATACTACTGCAGGTTTTCAACATATGTAGAAATATTTTAGTATATCTAATTTTTAAATGAAAGATTTTAGCAAAGCTACATGGTATGTATAAATCTAATATATAAAATTCTCGTGTCACAGTGTTTGTCTGCAAACTCCTCCGGAACGACTTCACCGATCGTTATGAAATTTGGTGTGTAAATTCTGTAGGTATGCGAATAGGAAGTAAACTATTTCCCGTTTCGAAATTCTTAAAAGGGCTCCACCCCAGTGGCTCTGGAGTTTCCCATGTTAACCTTATGAGAAATGGAATTAATGAATCTTAACAGCTGTTTCAATTAAACAAGTTGGTTGTGTTCTATGATGTTCAATAGCATTAAAGTTACAAGGATTACCAACAGGGTGCAGCACTATTATTTCTTTTACATTTATGACAACAGCTAATTTGCAACCAAAAGGTGAGTGAGCGTAGCGAACGAACTTCAACCTGGAGGCGAGTGAGCGTAGCGAACGAGCTAACCTGAAGGCAAGTGAGCGCAGCGAACGAGCTCCAACCTAAAGGTGAGTGAGCGTAGCGAACGAGCTCCAACCCAAAGGTGAGTGAGCGTAGCGAACGAACTTCAACCGGGACGTGATTGAGCGATGCGAACGAGATCATCTTGAAAATTAAACGTAACGGTACTTTCTTTCCATCGGTCTGTCTTAGGGGAAACCTATAACTTAGGCGATACGAAGTTCGCCGGGTCAGCTAGTATCTCATATATAAAGAAAAATGATGGGATCTATAAAGTGAGTAATGAAACGTTTACAAAAAATCACTTTGTGTCTATATTTCAGCACGTGTTTTATAGTTTTATACAGTATACTTAATTAACCATACGGGTGGAAAACATCCATCAAATAGGATCGGGTTCCCGCTGATCACCAAAGGATTTTAGCTTTGTGATTATGCCCCAACCTTGTTTTGTGAAATATTAAAAAAAGTTGTAGATTGAAGAGATTCTGGTGAAAAATTTACGTACTTTACACAAACGGTTACACCACCATACAATATTGGGGAGCGAGCTGGTCTAGTGGTTAGAGCGTGGGACTTCAGTGTCTTTGGTCCCGGGTTCAAATCCCACCAAATCACCAATGGATTTTATCTAAGTGATAATGCCACAACCCCTAGGTATAGCCTGAAGTAATGTGAAAAACGATTCCGGGCTCGTACCAAGCGTCCTAGTACAAAAAACCATACAATTTTACAATATTATGATTTAACAAAATAACTTTACATTTAATAGAAATATTAATAATACCAAAGCAATACACCAAGGTAAGATCGGGTGGATGAAGTTTCTCTCTTATATTTACCCAGGTAGCCCGACTGGGTATTTTGGGGCTCTGCAGCATCTAATGGAATTTGTAATGAGGGCTTATCAGTTGCCCCTGCCCAGGTCTCGC